CGGGTGGGGCTACAAATAAGAATATCATCCACTTACTGGAGCAAACTACTATGCCCTAGTTCCGGGTCCCTTAAATCCCTCCCCAAAGCTTGGCCAAATAAATAAGGGCTATCCCCAAACCCCTGGGGTAGGACTGTCCATGTAAGCTGACATGGGCGTGGTTTCCCAGGTAGGGACCATTCAGAGGCAAAAATAAATTGTGAATCTGAGTGAAGGGGTATACAAAAAAGGGCATCTTTGAGGTCCAGAGTGGAAAACCACTGGGTACCGCCAGGGATCTGAGTGAGTATAGTGTATGGGTTGGGGACTATGGGGTGTATAGGAATAACGGCTTCATTGACAGCTCTGAGATCCTGAACCATTCGATACTCCCCATTAGGCTTTTTTACTGGAAGAATAGGAGTATTACATGGGGATTCACAAGGAGTCAGGAGTTTATACTTAAGGAATTTTTCAATCAATGGGTGCAGCCCCTCCCAGGCCTCATGGGAAGCCCGCCCAGGGACTCCCTGATCCCAGACAATTGGCTCAACTGTCTCCCACACCTCCGGGGGAACATGGGGGGGTCTCGTGAACGTAGGAAAAAGAGACATTGGAGATTTGACTAGAGAAAATTGGCTTCCCAATTTCACCATCAGGTCCCTTCCCAACAAGGGGGCTGGACAAGTGGAGATAATGAGAAAGGAGTGTTCAAACAACAGATCCTCAAATAAGCAGGGTAGGGGGTGTGTCTCTCGACATCCCTTAATTCTACCGTCAATGCCCATGACCCGATAGTTTGCGGGGCGAGTGGGGCCAGAGTAATTAGTTAAGACGGAGTAAGTAGCCCCCGTGTCCAAGATAAACCGGGTAACCTTACCTTGAACCTCGATTTCGACCCAGGGCTCGGCAAGAGAGATGGGGAAAGTGGGAGCATTACCGAGCCCCAGGCCCTCCCGTCATTCCAAGTCTTGTGAGGACTGGAAGACTGGGTACTGGGGGGCAGCTCCACCACTTCTCCTCCCTTGGGGACAATCCTTCTTCCAATGTCCCTCCTGGTCACATATGGGGCACGGTCCTGGCGGTTTCCTCTGGGGGGGGCGCCCTGGAGGGGCACTCCTTGGACCAGTGGCCCTTCTGGTGGCATTGAAAGCAGGTTTCCCCGGTCCCCGAGTCGCCAGAAGAAACCCCGGGTCTGTTTCTGGCCATGGCAGCAGCCAGAAATTGGGCATGTTCTTTGTCTCTAGCCCCCTCCCTGCGTTCTTTCTCCTCTATTGCAACTAGGTCTCTGTTGTTAAAGACTCCAAAAGCAGTCTCCAATAACTGGGCCTGAGGTGTTTGGGGTCCCATTGCCAATTTCTGTAGTTTTCTCCTAATGTCTGGGGCAGATTGGTTAATGAAACACATGCTAAGGATTGCCGCCCCTTCTGCAGAATCAGGGTCTAAATTCATATACTTTTTAATGGCTTCTACGAGCCTATCTTGGAAAAGGGCAGGGTTTTCCTTCTCCCCCTGAGTAATTTCTTTAATCTTCTGAAAATTTACCTGTTTTCGAAAGGCCGTTTTCAGGCCCTCTAACAGGCAAAATATCATGTGATCTCGCTTTCCCCTATCCTCACTTCTCTGATAATCCCACCCTGGGTCACTGGAGGGAACCGCAGCTATTCCTGGGGGGTATCTTGTGGGGTCATTGCTAGTTAAGGTGTCCCCAGATTTTTGGGCTTGTTCCCAGATTCTCTTCCTCTCCTCAGTGGTACAACAGGGGGAGAAAAGGACATGCAAATCACCCCAAGAAAGTTCGAATTGTAGGGATACATCTCTGAAGCCCTCAGTAAATTTAGTGGGATCTTCAGAATATCGACCCAGCCTTTCCTTAATCTGGGTGAGGTCTGAAATGGAGAATGGAACATGCACCCTAAGGGTCCCATTAGGAGAGGCAGGTACTTCCCTTAAAGGAAAAAGCCCTGAAGGCTCTGCAGGAGCAGGGGCTTGCGAGGGAGGGAGATAACGAAGTCCTGCTTTGGGACTTCTCGTGAGTGAGGGACTGGAAAGCACCAGATGAACTGGCAAGGCCGAGGAATCCGGCTGGCAAAGGGGAAGATTACCTGACACCGGACGAGGGGAAGGGATCAGGGGAGAAGATGCCACTGCGATACCCTTGTCTGGAGCCTGAAGAGGGGTCCCATCCAAAGTAGAGGTCTGGGGAGGAGGCATTGAGTTGAGAACCTCATCCAGAGTTTGAGCTGGGGTCTCTTCGGAAGTAGAGGCTGGGGCGAGACCCTTGCTCAAGGCCTGAGTAGGAGCAGCCTCTAGAGTAGGGGCTTGGGGAGGAAATGCAAGAGCCAGAGGAAAAGGGAAGGAGAACCAAGGAAAAGGGGGAATTGGGCAAGGAGGTGGGGGCATGGGAAACAGGGAGGGAGAATAGGGAAATGCAGGGGGGGTCAAGGGAGAATAGGGAGAAGGAGGGGTCTGGGGAGAATGGGGAGCAGAAGGAAGGGTTGGGGAAGGATGGGGAGCAGAAGGAGGGGTCTGGGGGGAATGGGGAACAGCCGGGGAGGCCGGAGGAGAATGGGTGGAGATAGGTGCTGGGGAGGTGGTGCCGACGGAGGTTGGGAAGATGGAGTTGTCAGAACGCTGGGAGGCATAAGAGGATCATCCAAAAGGTCTATTTGATCCTCACTCTCCACTAGTGGGGTGGCTCTAGCTATGAGCATCTTACAATCCTTTCTGAGAGTGGGATCTCTAGAAAGCTCAACAAAAGCCATTAAGTAAGAAATCTCCACCCATTTTCTTTCTCTGCGACAATATTTTTCTAACTCTGAGAGGGTCTTTACCCGTAATGTCCCAAAAAGGGGCCGTGCCTCATAATTTTCCAGGTGATACTGAGGCCAAACAGTGTTGCAAAAATGCACCAGCTTTTTCTTTTTAAGTTCTTTACAGAAGCTAAAACTTTTCCAATTTTGTAAAAGACAGCCCAAAGGTGAATTCTTGGGAATTGAAGAGGATTGACCCATTGCGGGCTTAGGGGAAAGAAAAAAATATCCAACAGTTTCCCAATTCCCTAGCACTGAGAGAACTGAGACGTTTGGACCTATGCTTCCTGATAGGGAATCCATCCTCTATGCTAAGTAAGGTATTACCCAGGTCCAAGTGCTCAGGTAGAGGCACTGGACTGAAAAGCCTGGGAGTGTCAGGCGGAGTTCGAGACAGCCTCCTAGCTGTCTGACTTACAGGGACCTGAGAGATCAGGCCCGAAGACCCTTCCAAGGCAAGCTTAGCTAGCTGCTTGGAAATCCCCCTCCCAGCCACAAGACAACAAAGGAATAGGGGAGGGGGAGGCTTACCAGTCGTGGCTGAAGAAGAGTTTGAGGTTTAGCAGTGTTTCCCGGCCAGGGAATCATATATGAAGAGGTCTAGGACTTTTGGGGTTCTGGGACCCCAAGATCATGGTACCGGGCCCTGCTGAATGAATTCCAACTCAAATCTTCTTCAGCCAGAGAAAAAGTTGATTAGTGATAAATCACAGAGGCCAGGTGATGCCCATAAGGACAAGCGGGCATGAGAAAGGCTCAGCCTTTTGAGTGTGAAATTCTCAGCATCTGAATGAGGGCCAAGGTGGATCTTAAATACTAAAGTAACTTTGGGTGGCCAGAGAAGGGGGTTGGGAAATGGGTCTAGGTAAGAATTCTAATTGGGGAGGTCAGAGAGATTGAATAGACAATGGGAATAGATAATGGAGGGAACAGGAAGGCACAAGTTTGAAAGGCATCTGCACAAAATCAAGGTGGGGCTAGGACTTTCAAAAGGAGATAAAGGAAGTCTATAAGGAAGACCTTTCTGGGGCCTATAGACAAAAGGGAGCCTAAGGCTTTCAAAGGGATAAGGGGAGTCGATTAGGAAATTTGAAGGTTTAAGGGTTTTCTGGGTCCTGTAGACAAACAGGAGCCAGATTCTATTCAGGGCAAGGGTTGAAGGTGCATCTGAATAAGATCTAAAGGTAAGCTAGGGCTTTCAAGGGAGATGAGGGTCTGGGGCCTGTGAGTCAGATTCCCTTTGGGGCAAAGGGCGAAGATCTTGGCTTGGGCCCTGCCCCCATCAGCCCCATTATTTCTAGAACTTTATTTCCTTTTGGAATGAAAAGGTCTCCATGCAAGACAACTCTGCTCACACATAGTTTGGGGACAGCACGTATTCCCCAAATTCCACCATCTATTTAGGAATAAGAAGGCTGATGCACAAAAGAATGTTGGAGGGGTTGTAGTAAATCAGGCACTCTGGTGCACTGTTGGTGGACCTGTGAATGGGATTGGCTATTTTGAAAAGTGATTTGGAATTATTTACGAAAAGTTCCTAAACAATTTATGCTGGTTGACCCAGATATAATGTTGGGATCCTATGGCCTGTGGAAAGAAGTGCTAACCTGAGTTAATAGAGAGGGGCTTGGACAGGGTTCTGAAGAATACAGTTGCTGCAGACATGGTGGCACAAAATTACCACAACAAAACCATGTTATCTCTGCCCAAGACTGTGGGCAGCTTATAGCATGGTTTAGCAAAAAAGACTCCCCCAGAGACAAAAAGTAATACAGGAGACCACAAGCACAGATACACAGAAACACCAGACCCCTGTAGCCACATCTCTCTGCCAGGAAGAAGACTCTCACTCTCTTCCCCCTTCAAGGACACTAAGCTAGCTCCAAAAGCCATCTAAAACACCAGCCAGGAAATCAGGAAGTCCTATTCCTCCAAGCTTTCATGTGTTGTCTGCAAAGCAATATCAACATGGAAGAAAGGCCACCGTTGGTACCATCCGTTTCTACTATACCCAAATCAACCTTACACGCTCTGACCTTCATATCGTAGTGACAGCTAATTCTTAAACGTTAGAAACCTTCAGATCTGATTCTGCTGAACCAAAAGAAGAAAATGGGGGGAGGGGGAACCACTCTTCCCAATGGGTTTTTAGATTTGATAGCCAACATATTTGTAAAAGACTCTTACAGTTTCTCCTTACCATTCACAAGCAGCTAGCTTCATCAAGGAGAGCTGGTCAGTTTTGTGTGATCTCTAAAATCCAATCCACATATGCAGCCACTTTGATATAAACACCCGGGTGATCCTTTTTAGCACAACCATCTCCCCAGCTGGTGATGCCAACTAGTTGCCATACTCCATTTTGGTAACAGGACAGGGGGCCACCTGAATCTCCCTGTGTCGCAGGGGTTGGAAAAACAAAACAGGAAATGTTTGCAAGAGACATCTTCAAAGCCAGTTCGTACATACAGGTTTCTGTAGTCAGACACACAAAAATATACATACACATACCCTTTCCTTAAAACCATATTGGTACTTGAACTTATTGATGAATGCCAAACTAATGCATGATAGGGGTTTCAAAATAACAATATAATTCTATTACCTCAATAAGAAAATGACTGAAAATTCAAAAGCTTGCACACAGTGGGACTATAAAAACCTTTTCCCAAATATTTTTTATTATAATACTCCAAAATCTCAGCATAATGCTAATTATCATGGAACAGACTTAAGTACAACACACTTTTTCAGAACCCATTTTTGGGTGACTTGGGTACCAAAAAGGCTTAATTATTAGGTGATTTCACTTATAAGAAAACATCCCATGTACCCTTAAAAAAGCATTATAGTAAAAATCCTTTGTAGCTCATTTCCCCCCCCAACAAAGATATTCTTGTCATTCAGTTGTTCAATGATATCCAACTCTTCGTGACCCCATGGACCATAGCATGCCAAGCCCTTCTATCTTCCACCATCTCTCTAAATCTGGCCAGGTTCATGTTCTCTTGACAACTGGCATCTGTTTCCTAAAGTTGACCTGCCACCTCTCTCCTGACTACAAACCCTTCCTTGCCCATACTACACTTGCTCCTTCACCAGCTGCCTAGTCCAATTTCTCTTGACCATCTATCAACTCACTGGATCCATTTCATAAACTTTCATTAAGAACAGCGGTAGCAAATGCTTTCTTGATACAACGGCTCTTTAGTGTGTCCTCCAATCACCCCAGTAGCTAGCTATTGCTTCATCCCAGATTATCCCAAACTAGTATGACCCTGACCCGAGTAGATGCTCTAAGTTAGAATTTTTAAGATTTTAGTGAAAAATAATTTAATTTGCTCAAATGGGACTGGAGCGATGGGAGCACATGGATCATTAATGGAATGTCAATATGTTTGAAGGAAAGACCACCGAAAGGAATACATGAACTATACCACAAAGCAAAGTAGTAAAGATGCACTGTGGCATGGTGAACATAGCATTGTTTTTAGAATCAAGGAAGCCTGGATTCAAATCCTACCTCTGACACTTACTAGCCATATGACCACAGTCAAATCATTTCATCTCTCTGAGTTTTAGTCACCCTGGATGCAAAATGGAAATTATATATCTGTATTTATATATATACATGTGTTTATATGTGTGTGTATATACACATACATACATACATACATATATACATATGCACATATATACACATATGTGCATGTATGTATATATGTTGGAGAGAGAGACTGAGAGATAGACACAGACAGAGAGTGCTTTTCAAACTCTGAAATGCTCTATAAATGTCAGTTAATATCGTGGGCTGAAAAGTTTGAGTGTTTTTTTCTTTTTTTGAGGGAGGGAGGTCAGTTAGAGGCATAAAGGAACTTTACCTAAGAACCCTATAAGGAGGACTGGGTCTCATTAAAGGCTATATGGTATAAAGTTGACAGATTGGAAGGAAGGAAGAGAGTGTACCCAGATATTCTAGGGATTGGGTTTGGTATTATATTTTTTTTCAGTCATGTCCAATCATGACCCCATGGACCGTATCATGCCAATACTGTTCATGGGGCTTTCTTGGCAAAGACACTGGAGTGCTTTACCATTTCCTTCACTAGTGGATTAAGGCAGACAGAGGTTAAGTGACTCATCCAGAATCACACATCTAGTTAAGTGTCTGAGGCTGTATTTGAGCTCAGGTCTTCCTGACTCCAGGCATAGCACTCTATCCAATGAGCCATCTAGCTGCCTCTTTGGTATTATATGGTTCCTGGCCAAAGATCTAACAAAACCAAGTTGGGCTTGGGGAGTGGCCCAACCCACTTCCTCAGTGGGATACACATTGAATGGCAAATAATTCAACTCAATTCAACCACAAGGAAAAACAAAAGCTTTGACAAGTGTTTATACATCATAAAGTGTCAAAATTCTTCACGTAAGGAGTGAGAACCAGGGTAGCTCTATGTATTTTTTGTTTTCATTTTGTTATTTCCCTGTCTTATTCAATAACCAAGTTTGTCTGTTCCAGATCTCAGGTTAACAGCAATGAAAAAGAAATCCAATGTCCATATATCTGAACCTAAACATAGTTCATTCTTATGATCTGTCATTATCACAGCTGAAATACTTGTGCAATTCTAAGGTTCATAAAATTCTCTGCTTACATACATTCTGTACTTTGATTATATACACAGTGCTTGTCTGAGGACTTTGGAACCTGTATGATTTCAATGTATCTTATCTTGCTTTTATAACAAATAGATAGAAACATTTAAATGGCATTTGATAGTTGGCTTTTAATGTGAAATTGATTCTAGTCTTATGACTTTTGTAACCACAGACAGGTCATTTAATTTGTCTGAGCATCAGTTTCCTCGTTTGTAAAATGAATGTTTTGAACTCATAAGGCCCCTTTCAATTCCAGTTCTATACTCCTTCACATCATATTTCTCACCTCTGAGGGGGAGGAAGGAAATAAAAACTTATTGAGTTCTATGCTAAGTGCTTTACAAGCATTATCCTATTTGATCCTCACAATAACCTTTGTAGATGCTGTTATTTTCCTCATTTACAATTAAGGAAACTGAGGCAGAGGTTAAATGACTCACCTAAGGTCACACAGCTACTAAGTATCTGAGGAAGGATTCGATCTCAAGTCTTCCTGACTTCAAGCTCAGCACTCCACCCACTGTTCCACCTAGCTAGATGCTTTTTTGCTCAGTAGTCCCACTCTGCCAATATTCATATAACAGATTTCTTTACCTTACAAGCATCTTTACCACCAGCACAGACCATCTGATTAGTTACTTTATGTTGAATGTATTTTTTCTGACATTCTTCCATAGGCACTAGGGGAATTCTGACCTTCTGGAGAGTGTTTTGGATTGTACCTAGCAAAATAGAAGGAACATTGAAATGTTTATTAAAAGCAGAGTGAGAAATTGAAGCAAAATTAGATTTCTGAATTCTCTAATAGGACCCATTGAGTAAAACCTGAACATTAGAAGTTGGCAAATCAGTTTTTGTGGCTTAACTTATGGTGGCATCATTCAGGTGATCTAGAAGTCCAGTCAACATGTATTTATTAAGCACCTACTGAGTGCCAGGCACACAAGCTATATACAATATAAACAGAAAATAATCAACAAAAAGGAAGACACACAAAAAAAATTTTTTAATTAAAAAAAGGAAGGCATTATCATTTTATCCTAGATCTATTTCTCTTTTTTAGTGAAATAGCATTTTATTTTTTCTAATTACATGTAATGACAATTTTCAGTGTTCATTTTTTATAAGATTTTGAGTTCCAAATTTTTCTCCCTCCACTCTCTTCCCCTCCCCCTCCCCAAGACTACAAACAACATGATATAGGTTATACACATGCAACTGTGTTAAACATAGTTCCACCTTAGTATTGTTGTGAAAAAAGAAACCAGACAAGAGGGCAAAACCATGAAAAAAAAAGAGTGAGAGAAAATAGTAAGCTTCGATGTACGTTCAGACTCCATAGTTCTTTCTCTGGATGTGGGTAGTTTTTCATCATGAGTCTTTTGGAATTAAGACACTAGTTTTAAAGGGGATTGGGAAAGGCTTCATAGAGAGGTGGGGTTTTAGCTGAGACTTGTGAGAAGCCATAGGAGCCAGGAGATGAAGATGAAGAGGGAGAACATTTCAGACATGAGGGACAGCCGTGGAAAAGCCTGGAGTCATGGATGGAATATCTTGTGAGAAGAAGAATAGAGACCAGTGTCACTAGATCTTGGACTGACTGAAGCCCTGGCTTTGCCTCTGAGACATTATTAGAACAAGTCTGGCTACCAAGCTACCTCCAATCGCTGGTCCACCGTCTTCCTCTGTAATCACCCACAGTTTAAGGCCCACTAAGAATTTCAAAGCTCATCATTTTCGTTTACTACCTATAATCTCACATTCTAGTTCTGTATTTTTCCATTGCCAGGGGCGGGGTGGGGGGAAGGACAGGGGACAGGGACGAGGCAATTGAAGTTAAGTGATTTGCCCAAGGTCATACAGCTAGTAAATGTCAACTGTGAGGCTGGATTTGAACTCAGGTCCTTCTGACTCCAGGGCTGGTGCTCCACCCACTATGCACCTAGCTGCTCCATAATTTTAAAATTAAAAAACAAACAAAAAACCCCATCCTTTCATTCTCCCTTTCCTACCAACCCCAGCCTCCAGCAGAAGCAATCCTTGGTGTGCTGGTAAATGTTTAACAACCTACTCTCACAGAGGGGGAGGGGAAGGGGATGCCCAACACAATTTTAATTTTTATGATTACCATTTTCTCCACCACTTATAAATCTAGACAATCAACAAAACAATAAATCAAGCTCTGATTTGTTCTGATTTGCCACTTTTCAAGGTGTAAACGTCCATATTAACAATTTAACACTGAGGTCTTCTAAGAGCAGTTCAAGCTGACTCCAGTATACTTCTGAATGATACAGTGGAAAGAAAAACAAACAAACAAAAAACCAGTGGCCCTGGAGTGAACCGGCTTCACAATTGTTTCTGACGCTTACTCCTCTGCGACCTTAACAGATCACTTAAGCATTCTGGGCCTTCATTTCCTCACCTATAAAATAAGGGGGTTGGACTGAATCAGAGGCATCAAAAAGAAGGCCTGCAGGCCCCAAACTCAAGAGAGCAGCCCAAACCAGATTAAAATGTAATGGGAAACTGTTGAGCAAAACAAAGAAAAATATGACACAACATGGATAATGATATTTTGTGGGGGGTTTTTTCCTTGCCTAGGCAATGGGGCTAAGTGACTTGAACACTGTCACACAGCTAGGAAATATCTGAGGGCTAGATTTGAGCTCAGGAAGAGGAGTCTTCTAATTCCAGACCTGGCACTCTATGGCACCACCTAGTGGCCTCCACTGAATCAATACACATTAAGTAAACACCTACAGTGTACACAGCACTGTGCTAGACACTGGGGGAGACAGAAAGTGTAATCGACAGTCCTGCCTTCATGCAGCTCAAAGACTAGTAAAGGGATAAAACATAAAGGTAATCACATTATGCAACATTGCATGATAATAATAGTAATAGTGAACATTTATATAGCATCGCTATGTACCACAGACACTGGTACATAGCACAGACACTGTGCTAAGCACTTTTACAAATATTATATCATTTGATCCTCACAACAACCACCCTAGTAGATGCTGTTTTTATCCCCATTTTACAGATGAGGAAAATGAGTCAAAGGGAGGTTAAGTGACTTGTTCAGGGTGACACAGCTAGTCAGTGTCTGAGGCAGGACTTAAACTCAAGTCTTCCTGACTCTAGACCCAATGTTCTATCCAGCGCTCCTCTCAGAGGAGCATGAGGACCTAGGTTTGAATTCTGCCTCTGACATTGTCTCTGTGACTATGACAAATTGTCTTGGTTTCTTTCTCTGTAACATAGGGGGAGGGGAAGGTGACAATAACCGTCACAACGATAAATACCTGTGGTATCTACCTCCTTCTCTCCACCTCTTAACATTCCATCTCACAGCTCCAGGCATTTTTTAGGGCTTCCCCCCATGCCTGGAATGTTCTTCCTCCTCATTTCAACCTATTGACCTCCCTCACCTCCTTTAAATTCCATCTACAATCCAGTATTCTAGAGGAAGCCTTTCCCAATCCCTCTTAATTTTAGTGCCTTCCTTCTCTTCATTATTTCCTATTTTTTCTTGTATGTAGCTTGTTTGTACATATTTGTTTGCTTTTTGTCTCCTCGTTAGATTGTAAGCTTCTTGAGGGCAGAGACTGTCTTTGGCTTCTTTTTGTGTCCCCAGTGTTTAGCACCTGGCACTTAATAAAAGTTTATTGACTGACTGACTGCCTCATGGGTTGCCATGAGAATCAAATGATTTAATGAGTGTAAACCTTTATGTAAACCTTTACACACTGTATTGATTATGGTGATAATTACATTAGAGAAATTCAAAACAGAGAAAAGGAGGTTGGTAAGATTATGCAAAAGGTAAATAGATTCTGAAGGAATGGAGGTGTGTTTCTATTCCATTTGTTCGTTTTTTAATTTGGACCTATGATTTCATTGACCTAAGGTATGACCAGTGAAGAAACTCCTCCCTCAGATCAGCACATCTATACTATTAGAGAGTTGCCTTAGGCACCAACAGGCTGTCATTTGCCTAGAGGTGAACAAACATACATATACATACACACATACATATATGCACACACATGTGTATGTGTGTGTGGATCCTGTCGGAAGGCAGGACTCAAACCCAGGTCTTCTGGATTCCAGTGCTAACCTTCTACCCACTACTCATGATGCCTCTCATTTATCTTCTAGATTAGGGCTCAATTCCTCTGAATTGCCCCAGTTTTTTAAAAAATTTATTTGATTTTAGAGCTGATGCGCCATTCATGATCATTTATTTGTAAACATCATTCCATACCTTTTTCCTGAGTGAAGCCCCATCCAGTCACCCAGCAGGTGGTATAAGTCATGTCTTCTTTTGAAGGTAAGCAGACTGGTTTTTGGAAATCTAGATTGTATTTGTTATATTAGATTTTGGTTAGAGAAGAAAAAAAAATTCTGATTTTATAGATATACTACATACACACACATATACATATACATATACATATACATATACATATACATACACATATACGTATACGTATACGTATACATATACATATACATATACATATACATATACATATACATATACATATACATATACATATACATATACATACACATAAACACATATACCAATGCTATGTCCTGCTGTGGAAACTCTAAGAATGAGATCTCTCCACTTTCTGTTAAATACTCAATAAACCATTAGAGTTAATGATATAAGACAGTGTCCAACTAATAGGGAATTCATCATCCCAGGGCATTATGGGAATTAGAAATTGCCAAGTCCTCCCTGCCCAGTCTACCCAGAAGCCTGGGGTGCCAGTTTACCATTGGGAAAAATTTTAATTTCTTACTTCTTAAAGCTTATTCAGAATGCAATATCTAATAGCATGCCTCCAAACCAACCTCTTGCCTTCAGCCCAATCTCACCCCAACCGTAGCATCTGAGGCTTAGTTAAACATTGGTCTCTAGCTCATGGCAGTGTCTCTATTTAAGACCAACACCAGATGGCAGGTTGATAAGGTTCTATGTCTGAGACTATCACCCAGGGGTAGCCTTGTGCCTTTCTGGTCCCCGAAATACATCATGTCCTCTGACTTTAATCTCAATAATTTATGAGACATCACATGTCAGGTTGAGAGTTCTGGCTGAAAGTAACCTCTAGCCTCTTATTCTGCAAGATACTTTATTAATTTTGAAAGATGACTTGTCTTTCCCTTAGGAAATAGGAGCAATTTTTGTTCCCTAAGTCAAAAGCCAAGTGAAAAGTGAAAAGAGTTAGGTCTTATACAAAGGGCTGCAAAATTTAAATCTAGAAAACTCAAATAGATACCTTTGTGATGAACAGTGTACATACCAGTGAAATTCATGGCAGCTTTAAGCTTGATTAAATATCATGTATTGTTTGCTGAAATTTTATGTTGAGGGTGGATAATAATCTTTTCAGCCCTGGAGAAAGGTGTGGCTGCCTGGATTTCTGACTGATTTAAAATGCCAGTATAAATTCTCCAAATGTCAGGTGATGGTAAGCTAGAGGTAGAAAAAAAAATCTTCATAAGAATATTTAAGTGTCCAGAATGCCCTATTTACTCCCAAATTTCAAACTCTGATGTGCTTTCTTATCTCCTTCCAATGCCACCCCACTGACCAACCTCTGCTCCCAATTTAAAAATCAAGAAAACCAAAACCAACTGATTTTTCTGCACTATGTTTTTGTTATTCTGTTTCTGTTCTCTATTTCTATTTCTCTAATTCTTGTTCTCTATTTCTATTCTATTTAGTCCCAAACATTTGAGTTCTCAGCAAATTAATAGTTAGTTATCGTTTATATAAGACCCTAAGATTTGCAAAACAGCTTACGTGTGTGTGAATTGTGTGTATATGTATGTGTGTATAAAATCTCATTTGATGCCATCCCTCCTTTAATTATTTCCTATTTATCCTGAATATAGTTTGTTTGTACGTATGTGTAGATTAGATTGTGAGCTCCTTAGGACAAGGGCTGTTTGTTGTCTCTTTTCGTATCCCCAGAGCTTAGTACAGTGCCTGGTACAAAGTAGGTGCTTAATAAATGTTTATTTACTGATCAACTAATTGACTGATTCTCACAGCAACCCTTCAAGGCAGGTGCTATTATTATGTCCATTTTATATATGAGGAAATTGAGGCTTAAAGGAGTTAAAAGACTTGCCCAAGGTCAGCTAGTGAGAGGATGCAGTATTCGGACTCAGATCTATCCCCAAGTCCAGAGCTCTAACCACTGAGAACATGGC